AGGATCACAAAGATCAGCACGAGTTCGAGGGCCCAGATGAACAAGACCGCAGAGATCAATCCGAGATCGAAGGTGACGACGACCAGGATCAGAAAGATCAGCATGAGTTCGTGGGGTTCAGATGACCAAGATCTCGAGGATAAGCATTAGATCCCGAGCGGAGGAGAGGGTAGCCCGGGTGATCACGACTCCCCTTCTCCAGATCATGGCTACGCCTCCTCCCCCTTCCCCTCCCCAGTCCTCGGGCGGTAGCCCAGGTGGTGGTTCTCCGATCCAGCTAACTCCACCCTTATTCCCCGCCGATGCCAGTGTTCCTCTCTATTCCGATGTCAAGATCTTCACGGCGGCCGAGATCTACCCATTGGACCCGCTCATCGTGGGACCCGTGCCGATCCTGGTCATGGTCCAAGCTACTCTGACGAAGCGGATGCCGATTCCAGCAAACTTTTTATTTCCCCCACCGAGTTCCTCCTGTTCGATCCCCCCAACCCCTAGTCGGGTACTGCTCGTGGTTGATCACCGGGGCCAACGTTTTGGCTCTCATGGCGACCGAACCGTGGCATATGCTTGGTCAACGCCGCCCCACCCCCTTGACTTTTGATCACAACCTTCATCGGCGGGGGCAGACCCCTCTATGGCGGATCGCCGTGGGTTATGCGGCCCTGGAAGAAGATCACATGATCGCGTACTGGGAATATCTCGAGATCACAACTGCGATGGCCAACGCGGACACAGATCGCTTTACCTATCATGCTGATCGGTGCAAACGGCGGATGCGAGTCGGCGGGAGTTGGAGAAAGCTGTTGGGGGACATGGTAGTGATGATGAGGGCTAAGTGGGCTGACGTCGACATCCTGCTGGATCCCTATTTCCTCCACGTGCCGACGAAGCAAGATCGGGTACGTTGGTATCCCGGATCGGTGTCCCGGGCAGCTAATCTCGCACAACCGACCGCGAATCTCCACGAGCCGACCGACCTGATCACGGCCCTGTTCGAGTGCGATCAAACGAATCCCTTGAGGAATCACTTCCGTGATCCCGGTTCTGTCCACCCGTCGCGAAATATCCCTCGCCTCGTGAACAAGTTCAATCCTCCGACGGCCCCTCCGGCTGCAGCTCCGGGTGTCCCTCCGGCGGCCCCATGATCACCGATCTGGCCTCCGATCCCTGTCCACCTCTGAGATCTCCGATTCTTCCAAAACTCCCATTTCGTAATTTCCTAATTCAGCCACATCTTCTGCTCGTTTCTTCTGTTCGTTATCGTTCTCCAGTGATCTCTCCTCTTGCTCGTCCTGTTTTCCGTGATCTCTGGGGACGGCGTTAGATACATATATACAACCTAAATTCCCGATATCGGTCCTCCTGACCGATGTTCCCTCGGGGCCGAGGTGATCGGGTAACCTCCCCCGTACTCCTTACATCTCTTCATGTGATAGCATCACATTGAAGCGATTTCGATTGGCCCGCTCTCGCACCGCCCCACAGTTAAGATCGGCTTCATCGACCCAAGTTGGCTCGTCGTATCCTGCCCAATGAACCAGGAACTCCCGATAGATCCGCCCAAATCGGGTCTTCTTTCCACTCCGCACATCCGAAATTCGCTCGACTTCATACTCATCAGCACCTAGATCTGGAACCCAGCTGTCCTCCGGAAGCAAGATCTAGTCAAAATCGAGGCGGTCCGCCTCATCAACAGTGAGCTCCACGCGTGGTCGATCTGAAAAGTCCTTGTCCAGCTTCAACTTCGACACACGTACCACTGGGAAGATTTGATATCCTGTGCCTGCGATCTCGAGCTTGACACTGAATTCGTTGATCTTTTCAGCGACCCGGAACGGCCCGTGCCACAGGTGAGCCAATTTCCGCGCGTATCCTTCCTTCACTCGATCTAGGTACAACCAAACTCGGGATCCACCCTCGATCTGATGCGATCCTGCGTCCTCGTTGTGTCGTTCAGCCCGATCTGAGATGGCCTCCTTCAATCTAGCGTTGACTTGTTCTCGGGATTGTTGATAGTATCGTTGGACTCGATAACGCCACCGCCGCGCATCTCGATCTCGTCGTCTCGTACATCCGACCGGTAGTGTAGCCCCCAATGTCGATCTCGGATCCCACCCATACACCAAATAGTGGGGGTATCTTCTCGGATCCGATCATGAGCCGTGTTGATCGCAAAGGTGAGGCGCTCAGCATATTCGCCCCAATCCTTCTGATCAAGATCGCGGACGTACATCTTGAGCGCTCTGGTCGCGGTCTGCACCATTCTCTCAGCAGTCCGGTTGGCCTGTGGACGATATACCATCGTCGCCCGCTGCCGTTGTCCCAAAATCTAGTTAAACGCCCGGAAGAAATCAGACATGAATCCGGGTTCTCGATCATGCCGGATCATCTCACTGGCACCAAATCGTCGAAATACGCACTCTTCAGACGATTCCGCAACCGTCTGGGTCGATCGAGACGAGCTGGCCTTCGCGATCACATATCCCGTGAACAGATCGACCCAGATCAGTAATTCTGTGTTCCCCTTGTGGGATCTAGGTAGCGACGGTATGTGATCCATCGCGATAATCTGGAACAGATACGTCGCCTGTAAGTTTCCAGGTGATTCACCCCGGATCACCGGTTCTCCTTTTCCTGTCTCGCAATCTACGCATTCCCCCACGTACTGCTGGACGCTTCGGTATAATCGCCTCCAATGGAAGTGATCCCTGATCGGCTGGTAGGTTCCCCACTCCTTGATGTCCTCCCTCCAACGTGGCGTGATAATGGTGTAAGACGTCCGACTGTAGCGTTTCGGGAATTACCAATCTCATCAATCGGTCGCGACCGTCTCCCGCACTCGGCGTCGGGGGCAGTAAAAGAGTAGATCCTGCTCGTCCACCTCGTAGTCGGTCGTGATCTTACCATACGATCTTGCTTCCGCTTGGGTGAGATCCGCGATCGAGCCACTCAGATACTTCTTCATGCCGGCGATCCATACTTCTTCCTCTTGGGCTTGCTTGATCCGATCGACTCGGATTTCGCGGATCAAACCCTCATTCACGACACCCGTCGGTGATTTCGCTCGACCAGCCTGGTCACCGCGGCGACTCGAACCACTGGATTCTCGGTCTTGGAGATCGAAATCTCGTCTAACCGGTTCAGGGTAACCAGATCCTGGTGTCCGAGCGTCCGCTGGACCTCGACTCCCCCTTGTCGTTGCAACGCAGCGCTTGCTAGACTGACGGCACTTCCGTTCCAGTCCCTCTTGACGTGAACCAACTCATGATCGTTCCATTTCCTTAGGCGGTCGAGGGCCTTCCGCTTCAATAACGTCAGCCCGGGTGCCTTACAATCGATCTCACCCCGTACTTGTCGGATCACTAGGTTGGAATCCCCGCAGATCACCAGGCGTCTGCGATCTAAACCCTCTAGCATGTCGAGGCCCAAGATCAAGCCGTTATACTCGGCTTCGTTCACAGTAAGGTTCTCGAGATTACCTGATCTGACCTTGACCACCTCCCATCCGGGAAGACTCCACACATCGCGCTGAACGCGCCCCCACCGCGCTTGACCCGGGTGGATCCGTCAAAACTGAGCACCCATAGTTCCTCATCTCGATTTACGGTGGGTATTGGCGCTGGGATCCGGCGTTTAGGTTCTTTTCGGGGAGCGATCTTGGTCTGAGCATCGTCGATCTTCGCCCTCGGCGTGATGCTAGCGGCGATCGCCCCCAGTATCTCGTCTTCGCCCTTCGTGCACTTCGTGATCTCGAGTGTCCATGGGGCCAGGAGGGCAGACCATTGCCCCAAGCGGCCCTGCAACCCCGTAGACTTGAACAGCCAGGCCAACGTTGAATACCTCGTCAGGACCTGGATCTCGCGTCCTACTAGCAAATTGTAGTAGATATCGAAGATCCTCAGCAACGCCAACACCTCTTTCTCCGTCACATTGTAGTTCAACTCATTCGGCTTCAAGGTACGACTGGCGAACCCGACCGGATGCTAGATCCCGTCGTGTTCTTGCGTCAACGAAGCGGATATCGCCCAATCGCTGGCATACACGATAATCACCGGCGTTCTCGTCTCGTCGAAATGGCGGAGGACTGGGGTCGTCGCGATCTTGGTTTTCAGGGTGGTGAAGGCCCTGTGCGCCCTGATCCACCTCTCGTCTACTGATCTCGTCAACTTCAGTTCCGTTGGGTCGTGATCTCGAGGGATCGGGTCATTCCGGTCCAAGATCTCCCTCAGGTCTGATCGTTTCTCCAGTTCTGCAAACTCCACTTC